TAAGAAGCTAAAGCCACTTCCGCATGAGTTCGATCCCTGCCTGCTTCGGAGGTGACCACATGGCGTGGCAGACCTCTCCTGACCCGCCGGATGCTCCCCTCAGCAGTGTACTTCGTAGATTTGCCTGTTCTGCTCCCCGCTCTGTCTCTGGTGAAGCCTCTCACCCTCCGCATCTCTGGCTTGTACCCCAGTTCTGTATGAATAAATAATCTTTTTTAAAAAAAGCATTTATATAGTGAAAAATATAAGAAGATTATATTTTTCCTATCGAATGGGAGAAAATATTCACATAATTTATAACTTACAAGAGGATAAAATTCAAGATACATAAAACTTAAACAGAAAAAAATCCCAAATAATGAATGGGCAGCAGATATGACCACTTTACCAAAAAGAATACCTAGGAGGCCAACAGATACATGAAAATACTCATTATCACTGAGTAAGAGAGATGTGGGTTAAAATCACAATGAAATGCCATCTATCTCACAGCTAGGAGACTGACACATATTAAAAAGATTTTCTGCAACAAGTGCTGGAGAGGATGTCAAGAAAGAGGAACTGTTACACTGTAGGTGGGAGAGTAAAATGGTGCAGACGCTATGAAAAAGTGATTTGGACTTATTAAAGAAAAAAAAACTAAAAATGGAAATATCATAAACAGCAATCCCACTCTTGGGCATCTATACAAAGAATATGAAATAATGAAAGCAAAAAACTATGTTTATAGCAGCAAAATTTACCATAGCTAAGAAATAGAAGCACTCAGTTTTCATCAGTAGACACCAGGCACAGGAAGGTGTGGTATATCCACATATGGATTAATACACAGGCAAAGAAAGATGAAATACACCGATTCATGGCAAAATGAAGAGAGTTCAAGGAAATTATGTGCAGTAAAGCACATCAGAGTGACAAAAAGAAATACTGGGCGTTTGCATAAGAGGTGGTTTGATAAAATAAAATACAACAACTAGGGGACATCAATAAATGTAATGAGAGCTCTGCGGTTAAGAGGTAGGTGGGAGAGCGAAAGGGACAAAGGATGTGAAGGATGTTGTTGCGGAAAAGAAAACAAAACACGTGATGAGTACATACACACAAAAGCAGGTTGGTTGAATACTCTATTCCCAATGACAATACTATGAAAATGAGAGTAAAACGATTTTCATGAAAGCACAAATCCATAATGAGAATAGGAATGAAAACAATAAATTATGAATCTCTGGAGACTGTAAAGAGGATAGAAATAGTATATTAGTAGATCCAAAAAATTAAATCTGAAGCTGAAAGTGGTAGAACAGATAAGTAAGCTACCCTACATTGCAGAACCCCAACATCTCAGGGGAAAGAAAACATATCAACTGGTTTCATGACCTCCAAAGGAGTTGCAGCCCACACTTTAGAAAACACTGGCCCCAACAAACATCCTACACTCAGATCACACCATCATTAGTCTTTGTTTCCTCACTGTAATTTCTATTAATCCCTTTGCTTGGGATGTTTGTCAATACACTACTCCTTGGTGGTCCAGAAGAAATGGCAACCACTCCCCATGCTATATCTGTATAAGGTTTTGTCTACAAGAAAGTTGTCCAACAGATTATGAACAACTTGCTGATAAGAAATGTGTTACTAATCTAATATTTCCTGGTAAAATTACTTATTCATGAGAGGCATAGGATACACTTTAATTTATTATGATGAAGAACAATCTAAGAAGTCTGAGAAAAGAATTTTGTTGATCACCTACATCCAGGATTCTGCTCTGACATCATGTTTCAACTTCCCCTTCTCTATATGTCAACTCTTCTGTTGCCTTTTTAAAAAACAGAGCTTGGTCTACATGTTAGGGCAACAAATAGTTAGGCTAGTCTGGAGAAGATAAATTTAAAAGAGAAACCAAGATGCACTCAGAAATTAGCTCTGAGAAAAATAATGAAAAAGTTCCTATACTGGTTTCTTTGGCTTTCTAAATGCAGAATCTAATAAAGGAAACCTGAAATAAATTACCAGGACAAGTAATTCATTTTAAATTATTAAGGGTTATCTCATTTTTTTTAGATCCTGAAAAAATTTTCTCGATGGAAATGACCCTTGGCATCAGTGACATTCTGACAGCATGCATGATGCACACTCTTGGGAAGTCTGAATTCCATGTCACAGTGACTCTACTCAGATTACTGGCTTCTTCATGACTATAGCCCAATTAAACTGCTACAGTTTCTAATGGTCTTCTGCCTACTTTTATAAATGTTCATAAAAACATAATGTCAACCAAATAAATGTGCACCTGTGTGATTCACTACACAAATAATGGTATATCACAATGTACAGGAAAAAAGAAAAAATAAACATTCTTGGTAACAATAAAGGAATTCGTATACCCCTTTATATATGAATTTAGAACTGTTTGGTGGAAGGAATAAATATGTAGTCCATCAGGTCTCATAAAATTGAATCAAAAGCATTTTTCTCCCAGGAAACACTGCTGAAACCCTTGATATAGAGGAAAGATAAAATACCCAGAGTCTACTGTGGGTCTACTCTCAGGCTGAGATATCCAAGGATGTTCTGGTGTGTTCGTAGTTAGCAGGGTTTGGGTAAACTGCATGCCCTAGCCTGATCCTCAATTTACTTATTTCGAAATGTGGTGACTGGATCTTTATTTCTTATATTCTCTCTACCTGTAATACTTGATGATATTTAAATCCCTTTCACTTCAATTTCTTTATCTTAAAAAATCTGTGAAATGTATTTACAAATTTCTTTGATGTCCTTAAATGTTATTCAACATGATAACAGTACAATTCACTAAGTTTAAATTCTAACATTTTAGTTTTGCCTCAGAGGTCAAGTTTTATGAGTCCTTAATTTGCATCACCAGAAGCTGATTTAATAAGTGAAGGGCCCCCTTTGGAAATAAATTAAAATGGGTGAGAAGAGAATCTTACATATAAACAGAAAGTTAAACTTAAGGGGTCAAATGACTGATTCCCAAAAAAACGTTGTGGTCTTAGTGCTGAGAAAGTGGTTAAACTTTTTAGGCACTGAAAATAGATGTTTCTATTAGTAACTTCCCAATTTCTTGGCCTCTTGACCCAATACCAATTGTACCTTTAGCCCCATTTTTCTTGAAGTACAATTAGAGCAATTAAAGTATCTAACCTGGAGTCAGGTAGATTGATCTTTGAAGACAGCTTCAGTGTATGGCAGGTGGAGGTAGATAAAAACTTAAATGTACAACTACTGAAGACAATTTCACAGTCAAATAGGTTATGACCTGAATTGGCTCTTCTCATTTTGGTCAGGAGAAATAAGTGTGGAATCAATGAGGACAAACTGGGAGTTGGATAACCTTATGTAACATGATGAACAGGAAGTTGACCTTTGATAAATTTATTTGTAGTTGTCTTTTTGACTATCAAAAGCTTTATTAAATACCTCTTTACAATATTTTCTGACAGAATAAATCCTAAAGTCTGACTTTTAACAAATTTTGTAATTATTCTAACAACAACAGCTACTTCTTGATTACTATTATTATGACAAGCAGCTGGGATTGAAAAAAAATGAATTAGAAACAGACTCTGATGTAGACCCTACCATCTCTGGGTTTGAACTATTGTAGTGATGACAAAATAAATAACTACCATTGATTCACTCGTATCAGTCAGTCAGTGTGCTCGGCGGGTAATATTCATAAGCTGCCCAAGTTCCTCTGATTTACCAGATACCCTGACAGTTTGAAGATCTTGCTCTGTCCATGCATTACCACTCAAAAAATGTACCTAGCAGGAATTCAGACAATAAGCAGAAATATTTTAAATACCTTATCTAAACTTAACACATAAGAATGAAGTAAATAATGAAAGAATGTAGTGAATCAAAGTGAAATGGAAGAAACTGATTCACTCTTAGTGTACTGGCTTGGACAGAAGCTGTGCCACTCTGAAAACCACGATGCAGAATACCCCACATATGGCGCCCCACCAATGACTCAAGGAGATGGATGGTATTTAAGTGTTTTAAGACTCTCTAGCAAAAGACCTTGTAACACAATAAACTGCAAAACATAGGAAGCATTATAACCTTCTGGATTTCATTACCAAAATGTACATTTTGATCTAAAATTAAAAAAACAAACAAACAGATTGACTTTCCTTGTAGTATTTCACAACCTTTGAGTGCAGCATTAAAATGCTTTTCTTTTTTCCTCCACCAACTATAAGCTTCTGCTTTCTTACCCTGGGCGTCTGAATCTTTTATATGCTCGGGTTCTATTCACTGCCTGTTATTCAGACATTGAAATCCCAAATGTTAATTGTTCTTCCAAGTACATTGACAAAACAGCAGCTAAATAAGGGTAGACCAGACTGTGGTAGACTCTGACATGCATTTATGGAACAATGGGGCTCTGAGAGACAGCCTTGTAGCTCACGGGAAGACATAAGATGTGCTATTTTGACTGCTTCATAGCAGAATGGGGAACACACGCACACAAGGGAATTATGCATTTTACTTAGTTTTGCCCAACGTCCTCAAGGCAACAGAATCTTGTGATGTCATCATGAACTTTCTGTTTCTCCATTTCCATTGACACAAAGGCTAAAATTTTCTAATGACATCATAAAAGAAACAGGAATCTACTTTGATGCCATAAGAAATCCGCTACTTTCAATGAGACTTGTACAATAACACAAGAATTCTTCCTGACAGGGTGTATGTCGCCTGCTGATGCACAGTGGGTGATACCCTCCCTAATGCAATTCAAACCAGTCAAAAGAAAGGATTCACAATTTAGGGTGGATAAAAAGAAGCTGAATATTGAGCTCAACATATTTTCTTTCTTTTTTAAAAGAAGGGAATCATTTAAACATATATTTCTTCAGGGACGTTGTGATTTTTACTTATGTCTGGTTACTATGTTACTAATATTTTTGTCCTTTTTTGGGCTGGTCATAAAAACACTGAGAAAGAGACAGGAAGCTTTCACTTACAGGAATGCAGTGTAGCTGAATCTTTTGTTTTTAAGGTGCAATGATTTCAGTCTCTAAATGTAACTTCAGGCAGCCTGAAAAGAAACAGGTTAAAATCTCTTTCAGTTATAATTGGTATTTCAGATTTAATTAAAAATTAAACTTTCATAATGTTTCACCATCCAAAGCAATGCATTATCAGTCAAGCGTGGCTTTTTTTTCTGTTAAAAAAAAATCTCTTCCTAGAGTAGTTTTTTAATGAAAAGAAAAGGATCTAAAAAGGAAAAAATACGCAATTTTGAAAAACAAAATATGCCTCCATTCTAAGGACTTCATAATGATATGACTAAGAAGCTCAATGCCTCTGAATTTTAACTATATTCTATCTGATTTTTAAAAAATCTCAAACACAATTTCACAGCCTAAAGATTACATAAAATGTTAATTTCAGAGAATAAAGAAGAAAATCTATGATATGAATACACATGTTAAGAAGAAATTATGACTTCAATTGGAATTGGAAAAGAAGTGTTAGAGCCACTACTTTCAAATGAATGGGTTGGTGGTGGGACAGGTGGTGAAGCAGAGGTAAATGAACATATTTAGCAATACAAAATATCCACTGCAAAGTATTGTGGGCTTAGTATTCCCATACCACATCACACTGCACATCCTGTCACATGCAGTCATTGCTGTTAGAAGCAGCGTAGGAAGGCCATCAGATTTGAAGCAGACCTCCAGATTTAAATAACTGTAACCATTAAAAAAAATAGATATTTTTAATCTTCAAATTAAGAGTCCAAGAATTAAAAAAATCTCCAAGAATGTGGTAAATATTTGGGCTTAAAATGTCATACTATTTTTTTAAATTCTTTCTTCATACAACACCATCTATAAATAAGATAATAGTTTTAAAAAGCTAGATTAAGTCATCCCTATTTTTAGCTTCAAATAAGTGACATGACAGGATTTAGAAAAATATAGTTTCTAATGCAAAAAGGAGATAATGCAATGATGCTTCGTTTATTTTACAGCATTATAGTATATTTATGTTTGTAGCACTAAATGTGGTATGTTTATGACTACCTTTGCATTAGTGCAAAGTAATATTTTAATATCTCCACATAAGAGAACATAATCATAAATCACATCTCAAACTGCATCTATTATTATACAGTGCATCTTGCTCTCACTTGTGAATTCTGTTTTCATTATTCCTTGAAGTTTATAGATGAATATTTTGGATATTGTACCTACTTGATTTGCACAGGTTTTAAATGCAAACAGGTTCAGATTCACTTAACTAAACCCATCTATGAATGGATCAAAGAAAAATCACTGACATTGAATAACTAAACTTTCCCCCTGTTTCTCACATGTCTGAATTAGACTAAAAATGCACCAGTGTAAAGACAGAAATAATGAAGGCGTCACCAGGGACAACTGAATGAGAGGAGGGGAGTGCACATATTTCCTTATAAGGTAACAAAACATTTCATAAAAGAAACTGACAAAAATAACTCATGCTCAGAAATTATATGGAAACAACAATCCCTATAAATGATTCAGAAATACAAAAACTGCCCACCTCTATATAAATCTGAATCACCAACTGGCTTTGTTCTACTCATCCCTCAAATATGGTTGGTGAAAATGATTCACCATCTAGTTCAGACAAGAAAAGGTGATGGAAACCAGGCTGCATATTTACATATAAACTATTTAACCGACAAGTAGCAGTTCAATTTAATCAGTTGGATTTCCTTTTTCTTAATTCAACAGATGTTGAATGAATTGAAGTATTAGTAAAAAATAACAGTCATTTTTGTTTATAGTCATTAAGTTACATTCTTTTCCTCTTCTCATGTCATATCTCTTTCTCCTCTTTGACCTTACCCTTCATTTCTGTTTCTTCCTTACTTTCACTTTCTGTCTTCTTTATTTTTTCCTCTCTTTTTCTCTCCCCTCGGTGAGGGTAATGAAGCTCAAAAATAACATCTTGTATCCTGTTGAGGGAAACTTGGTCACAACTATCCTTCCAGATGACAAATTCATTCTTAAATGTCTGTTTCCCAATCCAAAGAAAACAGAGCAATTGAAAAAATAGAGACGCAACATCACTTACCACTACCAACACAACCACTTTTAATTCCCATGCGACATTCTTCACAAGAAAGACTGAAGTTTATTTACATTATCCTCTAACCTCAAATAGGACCACAAATAAGACTAATAACAGGACCATTTTGTGGCACTCAGGCAAACGGCTGGGCAAAACAGATGGATCTTACTTTGCGCCAGGACTCAAAAATACAGTCGCCAACTCACTGTTGGCGACTACATATCTTGGCCCAAAGATGGACCTGGAAGTGGGACCAGTTGTCTTTGATATGAATACTGTTCCTGTTCAGATCTGCCTCATGAGAAAATCATTAACTCTGTCACTATGTTGTGGGGTTAAGCTTTGGGTAGAAACCGCAAGAATGGCCAACACGGAAGTGAAGTATTCTGAAGTCATGCTGGATAAGATAAGAGTAGAAAGTTAGAAATAGGGCCTAATTTTTGGCAATAGGGTCTACTTTCCAATTTTTTTTTTCCAAGTTTAGTACTGTAAGCTGAACCTACCTTTGTAAAAGTAGGGTTCCGGAGTATATGACACTAGGAATAACTTGCTCCTGACACTTCAGGTATAAGTATGTTAATTTTTTTTCAGTCACCAACATCAATATCAATCATTATTAGAATTGACCACCAGTGTCACACTTCTTAAACCGGGAAAAGGCTATGTAAGGTTTTATAGATTACAGTCAATACCCACTGAGTGATACTGTGGGAAGCAACTCTGTAATCAATGCAAATTACAAAGTCCAGAAGAATGCTTCGTTGGGCAGAGACCCCTTAGCAAAAGTTGTACATTTTGCACTAGAAGATTATGAATGACTTAACAGAGAAGTAGCAGATGTGTTATATTAGTAAATATCCTGTAAGTCGCAAGTCCCAAACCCAAAGATCCACAAAACCTGAAAGGGTGAGAAACTATAAATCTTGATATTGCCTGGGAACAAAGCACTGCTTCTGATTACACTAAAATCCTTACAGAGACAAGAGGTTTAGAAACAAATAAAGCATTACAGTTTAGGTGGTCTGTGCTAATTCACACACTTCTCTTAGTGTTCTCTCAACTATACAACATCGATTCTATCTTGCTCAGATTGATTTTGCTCATTTTTCTGTGATTTATTGAGATTTGAGTTTCAGAAGACAAGTTCCTTGTGTGGTCAGTAAAGATGGTAAATTATAATACTTTAATTATTTATTCCACTATGTCTGTCACAAAGTCTTTTTAAAGACAATCCCAGATATCATCACATTCTGTCTATGAATATGTCAATATGAATTACTAAAATATGACTTTTAAAAATCAAAACAAATTTCATCAAACCACATCAAAAATAAAGTAGTAATTCTTTACTGTTTATTAGTTTATGTCAAATGATTGAACTTTTTTATAGCTGCTTAGTTTGAATTAAAATCGAAACAAGATCTGCCCCCTGTATTTGAATGCTATTCCCTTTGATGTGTAAATCCTGCAAGTCTTTTTTTTTTTTTTAACTTTTTGATTTGGAACAATTTCACACTATGGAAAAATTGGAAAGACAATACAAAAATTCCCATATTTCCTTCACATGTGCTCCCTAATTTTAACATCTTTAAGTAGCTTTAAATAAATTTAAATTATATCATTACTCTAAAATCTGAATTTGCCCAAACTAATAAATTAACATTGGTACAATTCTACTACTCAAACTACATACTTTATTTGGAAGTCACCCATTCTCCATGAATTTCCTTTTATCCTTTCCAAGGATCTAATCCAGGATACCATCTTCTACTTAGTTGTCATTTCTCATCAACCTCTACTCTGGAACAATTTTTAATCTTCCCTGATTTTTTTAATGACCTCGATAGTTTGAAGAGTGGAGACCACCTATCTTGTAGAATGTTCTTCAACTTAGATTTGTTTGTTTTCCATAATTATATTAGGATAATAGGTTTACAAAAAAAAAAACAACAAAAAAAAAGAAGTGTTCATCCTTTCAGGGGTACATGCCACCAATGGGCCTTAGGACTGGAGCCCTTGTCTGAGCCACTTGGTTACAGGAGTCCCTGCTAGATTTCTCCACTCTCTTAGTTTTCATGGGCATAATTTCATTTTGAAGGTTGCTGATATAGTCAAGAAAAATTTACTCTTATTAAGTGTACAGCTTGATTTTTTTTAAAGATTTATTTATTTATTCGTACAGAACTGGGGTATAGGCCAGAGATGTGGAGGGTGAGAGGATTCACCAGGGACAGAGTTGGGAGCAGAACAGGCAGATCGATGAAGTCCACTGCTGAGGGGAGCAGCGGGCAGGCCAGGAGAGGTCTGCCGCGCCATGTGGATCTCCTCTGGGGCAGGCGGGGATCGAATTCATGTGGAAGTGGCTTAAGCTTCTTAGTGCAGTGCTTTAACCCGCTGTGCCACCAGGGAGGGCCCCTTGCTTGATTTTTAATAAATTTAGAGTTGAGTGATCACTGTAGTGGTTTTATAACATTAGTGGCCCCCAAACATCCTTTATATTTTTAGGCAGTCAATCCCCAATACTTACTTTGGACTTCAGACAACTAATGTGTTTACTGTTTCTAAAGATTTACTTTTCCGGACATTTTTAAATAAGTTAAATCACACAATATGTATCTCTTATATATAGCTTTTTTTACTTATCATGTTTTCAGATTCATCTATGTTGTAGTTTGTACTAGCCATTTATTCCATTTTATTGGTGAATGATATTCCATTTTAGACAGATACCATTTTTTAGAAAGATTTTACTTGTTTATGCATACAGAAATGGGGTACAGGCCAGAGGTGCAGGGGCTCGAGAGTATACACCAAAAACAGAATGGGGAGCAGAACAGGCAGTTCACTGCTGATGCAGAGGAAAGCAGCCAGCAGGTCAGGAGAAGTCTGCTGCTCCAGGTGGATCACCTCTGGGGTGGGGATCTCACGAAAGTAGCCTACTGCTTGGCTTAGCATTGTAGTGCAGTGTTCCAC